ACGAGTATGGTTGAGCAAACGTTCTTTTGTATTTTTGGTTATATGTGGTATAGCTGGGTCTTGAGGCAGCACTATTCTTATTTGTCTAAGAAAGTGCCAGATTGACTTCCAAAGTGGTTGTACAAGTTTACATTCCCACCAGCAATGGAGTAGGGTTCCTCTTTCTCCACGTCCTCTCTAGCATGTGTTGTCACTTGAGTTTTTGATCTTAGCCATTCTGAATTCTCAACAGAGGAATCTCGAATTGTGGAGAAACATTTAAAGAAATGTTCAACGTCCTTAGTCATGAGGGAAATGAAAATCAAACCGACTCTGAGATTCCATCTTACACCTGTCAAGATGGCTAAGATAAAAAACTCAAGTGACAACACATGCTGGCAAGAATGTGGAGAGAGGGAAACACTCCTCCATTGCTGGTGGAAATGTAAACTTGTTCAACCACTTTAGAAATCATTCTGGTGCTTTCTCAGAAAACTGGGAATAGCCAGCCTTCAAGACCCAGCTTTACCAATCCTGAGCATGGGCCTGAAAGATGCTCTACCATACAACAAGGATATTTGCTCAACCATGTTTATTGAGGTTTATTCATAATAGCCAGAATCTGGAACAACCTAAATGTCCCTCAACCAAAGAATGGATAAAGAAACTGTAGTATATTTACACAATGAGTACTACGCAGCAATTAAAAACAAGGAGTTTTTAAAAACACACACCCAGAAAGACACACATGGTATACACTCACTTATAAGCGGATTTTTGTCATATAGCACAGGATAGACAACTACAATGCAGAGATTCCAAGAAGATAAGCACCATGGGCATCTTAGGCTTCATGTAGATCCACTAGTTAGAGGAGTGGGGGATATCTCTGACATGGACTATGTTGTCTGCTTTTTGATCACTTCCCCCTGATAGGACTTCCTTCCAAGGCCATAAGGGAGGAAGATGAACTCAGTCCTTATGAGAATATATGGGCTGGGGTGTCTGGGTAAGGGAGCTTCCCTATTCCTGTAGGGGAGAGGGGATGCAGGAGAGAGGGTGGGATGAGAATAGAGGAGGGAGAGGCCTATGACTGTGATATAAATTGAAAAAGTTAATAATATTATTTTTTAAAAAAAGAACCAGAATAGTAGTTGGCACTTGTGGTCCAGGTGCTGGGAAAGTGAGAATGAGACAGATGAGTCCCAGGGGCTCACTGACCAGTCAGCCCAGCCTACTCAGTAACTTTCAGACCATTGAGAGACCCTTTCATTAGAAACAAAGTGATCAGCACCCAAGGAATAGCATCTGAGGTTGATCTCTGACCTCCATACACACACTTGAACCCACAAGAAAAAGCACACACATAGAAAGAAACAGAAACAGACATAAATAGACAGAGACAGAGAGAAATAGAGAAAGGAATACAGAGAGGGAGTGAGGGCTAAAGAATCAATCTGAGGTTCAAGTTCATCAAAAGACTTCAGTGATGCCCTCAAAAGCAGGCCTCATGCCCAGCACAAAATGAACTCAAATTTTATATTTGCAGGACTATTTTGCCTCATATTGCTTTGTTTGGACAGGTTTTTTTTTTCTTTACTTGACTTTTGCTTGTATATTACGGTTCTCATTTTGTGATATTTCACCTGCTATTTCTTTGTTTCTCTTTTTTCTTTCTTTGTTCATTTTGGGTTTTTTTTGTCTTTTTTATTTACTTGTTTGTTTTCTTAGAGAAAGAAAAAAGGGATGGAGTTTGATTGTGTGGAGAAGGGAAGGAAATGAAATATGAGGCAGGAGAAAACATATTAAGAATATGTTGTATTAAAAAACTCTTCATTTTCATATAAACAAAATACACACACACAAGCACACATGTGCAATAACAATTATTGAAAAAAAGAAGGCATAAACTTGAAGGTGAGCAAAAGGGGCATATAGAAAGATTTGCTGGGAGGAAAGGCAAGAGAGAAAAAGGAGAAATGTAACTAAATTATTATCTCTAAAATAAGATACAGATGATAATGAGGATATTTGATGTTTTGGCCCTTGAGAGATGGCTTATCAATTAAGAGAACTGATTGCTTTTCCAGATGATTCAAGTTTGATTCCCCAAACCAAAAGGCCACTCACAACCATCTGTGCCTCCAGTGCCAGTGTGATGCCCTCTTCTGGCTTCTGCAAGCATTGCATATACACAAATGTACATGCAGACAAACACACAGACATATAAAAAATTTTTTCAAAAAAATCTTTTTCTTTAATGTTTTATGTAGTTCAGAAAAATCCAGAAAGTTTACTAGTCTTTGACCATGTGAGGGTACGTTCCTTCCAAGGGATGTGTGAAATCACACCCTGAAAGGATACTTGTTTCTACTTTGTTATGTTTGTCCTAGTCATTCTTGCTCTACACCTTAGAAACCTCAACATGCTTTTTGTTCTTTTTTTTTCCTTCCTTACTAAATCAAAACTTTTCACATTTTCTGTTAAAAGAAACACTTCTATACTCTCTTCAAGGCCTAGGCCTCCAGAATCCCTGCTCTTATACAGTGAGACTACTAATAAATACTTACAACTTGTTCGAACCCCAGCATTTCAGTATCTCCATCAACAGATGGATAGCCTCTGATACTGCCTCAGCTAGTGAAATATCAGCAGGCTGGGATGTCACTGCGGACAAGCCTCCTTCACAATCAGCAGCTTATAAAACCAGGAGCTGAAACACTGAACATAGATGAATTGGGTCCAGATGGTTGGTATGAGTTTTCAGCATTCCACACAGATGGCACACAGTTTAAACCTTGTGACCTGCTTAAATCTAAGATTTTCTGTTTAATATTTTCAGACCAATTGACTAAAAATAATTGAAACCACAGAGAGTAAAGCTGAGGGTAAGGACAAATAATTGGATGTAGAACTGACAAAAGTATTAATGATAAATGTTAACACCTTGAACAATGCTGATGAAAATAGAAAATGATATAAGTATTGTAGAAAGTAATTAATATTCCCAGGCCTCAAGACTAACAATTCCATCCACAGATATTTGCCAAGAAAAAAATTATATACATACATATATACATACATCCATGCATGTGTGTGTGTTCAGCAGAAAACATTTAAAGACTATTTATAGTGGTATTTTTCAGAAGACAAAAAAAAAAAAACAGAAATACAACCCAAAAATCTAATAACTGGAAAATGGGTAAATATTACCTATTATTAAAAGAATATGTCAAACTGCCATAAAAACTATAAAATTTTGCTGTCATATTTCATATGCACTCACTCAAGTACTTTTAAGACAGCATTAGTGAGGAAAAGTATCTAGTCACTGAAGGCTACTTATACAGAAATGGTCATTTATGAGATTTAAATAGCCTAGAGATAGAGAAGAAAAAAGAAATTTGTTCCCTATGTACAGAATAAATACTCAACAGAAATGTTCTGATTTCCATTTACACATCTACAGGAATTTCCTCGTGTGTGTACACATTAATAGGTTATATGCATAACTGACTAAAACCCGAGAATAACAAAAGAATGACTTCAGAGTTACAGGCACTCATATCAAACATGGTTTAATACAACCCCAATTCTAACAGAGAGTGTGACAGGCATACATATGCACCTAGAAACAGAAGTACATACTCTTATTCTTTTCTACCTTAATTATAGGAATATTTATATATATCCTTAGATGTCTTTTTATTGCTAAACATCTATTTTGGTTATTTTATATAGTCTTTGTATACTTCTAGCTTAGCTTCAAAAGGCCAGCCAATATTGATCTTGAGCTCTGGCAAGCTCTGTATGGTAAAAATGTATCCCAAACTCAGGTTCACATTTGAATCTTGGCTACTTATGTATAAGTTTTCAATTTTGAGAGAAAGTGTCTCTTTAAGGAAGAATAACCAGAAGCTACAGAGGATATATTTGTGTGATACCTGGCCTTTGTGTGACTGAGAAAAATGTTCATCTTGTTTCATCCTTTGTGGTATAAATATAAAGAAAAATAAAATAATTACAAGGAAAACAAAGGCTCTTCAGTGTGTCTAATACATCCTCCAAATCAGTGTGTCTGACCTTTTCTTAAGACTTTAACCATCGCAAGGAAACCAGTCGGGAAGGAGTCATGTGCTAAGTAGTAAAGGGCAGAACTCAGTGATGTGAGAAGAGATTAGTGAGAGCTGGGAGAGAGGACCAGCCCCTCCCAGTGTGGCTGATCCAGTCTGGGATTTACTGTCTGGCAGAAACACACTTGCAATTAACAGCTGGCACCAGAGGAAAGCAGACATCCCAAACTGGCTCTGAAGGAGGTCAGCAGAGAAACCTTCCTAGAGTTGAAGGTACTGGTGAGCAGCTCAGTTGGGGAGAGGGGGGAACTATGTGCAAAGCTTTATGAGAATGAAGGAAATTTGCTTGCTATAAACCTGCTCCCAATTCCCCTTTCACATCCATGGTTAAATGTTACTATAGTAGGCACCTGCTAGTGAATGATTTTGGTTTGAGAATAGACTTATTTTCGTTTTGAATTTTGTGTGTGCATATGGATATGTGCACATGAGAGCAGGTGCTCATAAAGGGCAGAGGTGAATCCCCGGAGCTGCATTACAAGAAGCTGTGAGCCGCCTCATGTGGGCGCAAGGCGCTGAATTCAGTTCCTGTGCAAGAGCAGTAGACGCTCTTAACCACTGAGCCATCTCCCCGTCCTAGAATAGTATTCTTATGAGTAGAAGTTTTAAATAAGAAACTCATATACCAGGAGAGTGAACTCAGTGATCTAGGTATTACGCCTGACAGATATTTAAAAGTGAATAATCGTTTTTATTTTTGTTTAGAAATGACGTTTCACATGGGTGGATTCCATTCCTGGAGTGGGTTGGAAGAGTGCTCAAAAGAACTTTTGTGACTGTCTTTTGTCTTCATTTTTTTCCAGCTGGATTTTGGTCTAAGTACCCCTCTCTCCTCCATACAAAGAACAGCATACTAGACCTGCATCCTGAACTCTTGATTCTAGAAGAATGAGATCTTACACAGTCTTCCCACTGGCCTCTATCTTCCTCTCTCTAATGCTGTTTCATCAAGTCTGGCCTCAGTTTCCACGAGAATGTGCCAATGTTGAGGCTCTGAGAAGTGGAGTGTGTTGCCCCGACTTGTTCCCTTCCTCCGGACCTGGGACTGACCGCTGTGGCTCATCATCAGGGAGGGGCAGGTGTGAGGCTGTGACTGCAGACTCCCGACCCCACAGTCGCCATTACCCTCATGATGGCAAAGATGACCGAGAAGGCTGGCCTCTGCGGTTCTTCAATAGGACATGTCAGTGCAATGGTAATTTCTCGGGACACAACTGTGGGAGCTGCCGTCCTGGGTGGAGAGGAGCGGCATGCAACCAGAAAATTCTCACAGGTGAGTGGAAAGATGGGGGCGGAAGTGTCAGTAAGTTAGACCGAACACAGGATCCTGAATCACGTCAGTAAACACCTGCAAGTCTCAGAGCTCAACACTCTTTCCCCAGCTGAGCAAATTGAAGAAGTCAAAGAAATTTGTCTGATTTGAGATTGAAACCTACACTTTTATTCTTTTTGGTTTTTCGAGACAGGGTTTCTCTGTGTAGCCTTGGCTGTCCTGGAATGACTCTGCAGACCAGGCTGGCCTCTAGCTCACAGAGATCCACCTGCCTCTGTCTCCCTGGGATTATAGATGTGCGGCGCCACCAGCGGTGAAAACCACACCTTTTAACTCATAGTATTTCTGGTCTGGAGAGATGGCTAGGTGAGTTGTCAGAGCACTTGCTGCCTCAGCAGGAGAACCTGACCTCAGATCCCCAGCACACACTTAGGAAACTGGGTGGCCGCATGTGACTGTTAAGTGAATCTCTGGACTTTTGAAGATCACGGGTCTAGCAAAAATTGCCAAACTCCTATGAGAGACACTGTCTCAAAAAAATGAGGTAGAGTGATAAAGGACACTTGACATCCTCCTCGGGTCTTCACACACACACACATTTGATTCCTCCACACACACAGTATTTTCTTCAAAATACCCAAGCAATATGTTAGGAACTGATTTTTTATGACTAGAGGTGTTTCTGCCGATCCTTATACATTAGATTCAGAAGCCCAAGCCCATGGATCTGGACTTTGGCAAGCACAGCATCCCCTCTGAGATCTGGCTAGCTCTAACAAGACAGCCTTTCCTCTCCATGCAGCCCTGGTGACCCACAATGCCTCATCATGGTGATGGAAGTCTTGCACTTTAGATGAAGGAGCAGGTGTGGAGTATTAAAGAGTAACAGCAACGGCACGGGCTTGTTTTCCATGTGTCACACACTGACCAAGGGTTTCACAGATT